CATTTTGCGTCCATTGAGTCGGATCTCTTAAATATGAGACATAGTCTATACTAATATTATAAAGCTGGAGAGTTTTTTTTGCTGTATACATTACAAGCTCTGTAATAACTATTGTAGCACCTGTATTGGCTCAAATCTTTAATAACTGTATTGACTGTGGTGTGTTGCCTGATCTTATGAAATGTAGTAAAATAATTCCATTATTTAAATCAGGTAGTACTTCTGACCCCACTAACTTTAGACCTATTTCAGTACTACCTACGTTCAGTAAAATTTTGGAAAAAAATATTTTAGATCAAATGCAAAGATTTTTTAATAGAAATAAATTATTACATACCAAGCAGTTCGGATTTACAAGGGGTCGTTCAACAACTGATGCCAGTATTGAACTTCTTAATCATATTTACGACGCATGGGAGGACTCAAGCGACGCTTTGGGAATATTTTGTGATTTATCCAAGGCGTTCGATTGTGTGCTTCATGATACACTGATCAGGAAGCTTTCCCATTACGGAATTAGAGGTACATCTCTGGACCTTCTTACCTCATACCTGAGTAATAGGGTTCAGAGAGTTGAAGTAAACGGAATGGTTTCTGCCGGGTCTGTTGTGATTATGGGTGTTCCGCAGGGTTCTATTCTCGGCCCGTTTTTATTTCTTATCTATATTAATGACTTGCCTTACCTTGTAAGGGATAAACACGAGATAGTGCTGTTTGCTGATGATACCTCACTATTATTCAAACTCAGACGACGACAATCAGTTATTGACAATGTAAACAGTGCTCTCTCAGAAATAGTTCACTGGTTTGGTGTAAATAACTTATTACTAAACGAAACTAAAACTAAATGTATTAAAATTCACAACACCAAATGTTAAACAAGTAAAAACTAGTGTGCTTGTCAAGGGCGAGGAGTTGAGTCCTGTAGATACAACTGTCTTTTTAGGTATAACCCTGGACGCTAAGCTCCAGTGGGGTCCACATATAGATAGCTTGTCGAAGAAGCTCAGTTCTGCAGCATACGCTGTTAAAAAAAATTAGAAATTAAACAGATGTAGATACAGCGCGGTTAGTTTATTTTAGTTATTTTCACAGCATCATGACATACGGTATTTTGTTGTGGGGGAATGCTGCTGACATCCAGTCTATTTTTGTTCTGCAGAAAAAGGGCTATTCGATCAATCTATAATCTTAGTCCGAGGCATTCGCTCAGAGAATTATTTAAGGAATGTAAAATTATGACAGTTGCCTCTCAATATATTTATGAAAATGTAATTCACGCTCATAAAAACAAAATCTTATTTAAGAAATATTGTGATATACATAAGATCAACACGAGGGGGAAAAACAAATATGTTGTCCCTGCTTCCAGGCTTCAGAAAATAAGTAGTTCGTTTAGATGTCAATGTATACGCTTTTACAATAAAATCCCTAGCGATATTCAAAATTTGAGCCTCAATAAATTTAAAAGTGTAATATAGGCTAAACTTTACTGTAAAGCATTTTATAAAATAAAAGACTACTTAAAGGATAGTCAGGCTTGGGAATGAGCCGCTGTAATGCCTGCACAGGTCATGTTGACAGGTTTGTAACATAAGTTACACTTTTATATACAATATGACATTACGTTTATTTTTTATACAATGACATAATCACCTATTGTGGCATTTTTATTTTTTATTTGACATTTTTTTTATTTATTTATTGACATTTTTATTATTTTATATTATTGTTAGTGTAAGGACCGTGTGAGATTTGCCGTGCTTTTTGATTACCAGTTATCTGCGTTCTGACAGTTTGAGTACTTGCGCGACCCACCCAAATGTTTCGTTTGATCGGTATTGTTCGTCGGACAACTCAGCAGCACTAGCTATACTGGTTGCAAACTGACACTTACGTGCCTGTCTTCAGAACGGGTCCACTTAAACTGGTGTGGTTCTTTCCTCAAAAGACTTCTTTGCACGATTCTCTCACATTATGTTATTTTACATTGTCTGGACTTGAAAAGAGACTGACCTCTGAGTTTCTTTCGGCATTTCTTCTCAGAGTATAGTCAGATAGGAAATGCCGGCTTCATCTAGTTTTTCACATATAATTTGACGTGTAAAAGTGCCGTTTTATGGCCTATTTGCAAAAATAAATTCATTGTTTCATTGTTTATGAACGCGCTAATCTCCAAAACTACTGGTTCGAATTGAATCATTATTAGGCTTTAGGCTATAAAACATCACGCTTCGATTTGTAGGAGCCGAGCAGCGAGTGAAACAGCGCGACAGAAGCTAGTTCAATATAATGTTAGAGTAGGCTCCTAATTTCACAATGACTAGTCCACTGTCATGGGTGTTACATAAATACAAAAATTTATGCATTGGTAAATAAATTTGTAACCTAAAATAATTTCAATAGAGGCTATTTTTAACTGATTTAAAAGTCGATGTAGCTTTATCTGAATGTTTGTATGTCGGCGATTATCTAGCAATTGCCTGAAACAGGAATACTCTCTCACATACATAAATATCTCACAACATAAAAGAAGATTTGAGTATTTATTCGTTTTTTAAGAGATAGGTCTGCAAACGGTTATGGTAAGCAATCGGCAACACCATAAATAGAGTAACGAGTGCGTTACTGGCCTTTTAGGGATTAGGATTTCGGAGATTTAGGGATAACCAGTAATCTCACTCACACGGCGAAACACAAACCCATGGTGGTGTCACGCCGATTTTATATGGGGCTGTGTTATCACTCCGGTAGAGCGGAAACCTACCGAAGCTTCTCACTCTGAAGTACGATTAGTTTTTAATACAGAACAATCTAGCATTTTTGAAGGCCGTTTTATCTTTTTTAAACATTATAATTAACAAGAACGTCTAAAAAAGCACCTGTGCATATAAAATTATTGATACATCATTTTTAAATTTGAACAATATTGCGTCAATTAAGTATTTGTTATCCTTAAGTTTTGTAATAGTGTAACACAGGCTATGCTTTTTTTGTCAGGGGAAAATCTTCAAATGACTTTTCCAGCCCAGGGTAAGACGAGGGAGTGGTACAGACTCTTACTAACTAAAAAACCCTCGCTCCTGCTCTGGGCCGAGGCCGCGGTGACTCATTGCGCTTAACTCGCAACCCCAGCTGGACATCATCCTATAGGGCTCCGTCTGTGGTGGTCTAATGGCTCTTTGAAGCGCGCGCTGGTCGGGCACCGATCTATCTTTACTCTACGTCTGCAGCTCCCGTTTACGGTGGCCGGAGATCATCGCTCGATCCCCGACGCCGTACCGAAGCTGCCGTGCCCGGTGAGCACCTGCGTCTGGCGGAAGGTGAGGACGCCGTGGCGTCTCTAAAGCAACTCCTCAAAGAGGGCTCTTACCGCTGCTATAACAGCGTGCCCGGCCCTCGGTTGCGACAGACGTTACTTTCACTCTGGCATGAGATCGTGCTGAAGCTGATTTCGCCACGCAAAAATTTGGCGCGTCAGAGGATCCTCGCCTTGGCGACGGGCGTCTGCGTGCAAACTGTTCTTTTTTGTAATAAAGAGTGGTGTACATTTGTCATCAAAATGTTAAGAGAAGAAATAGGAATCGCGGGGTTGCGATAAGCGTAATAAAGTACCGCGACCTCGGTCTAGAGTAGGGAACAGAACGGGGGGTTTTAAGTCAATAAGAGTCTGACACTAATACTCGCCTAACATAGGTAACAAGCTTAGCGTAGCATGATACTAGCCGAGTTACATTACCAATCAGTGTATATAATTATGTATGTATGCTTTATGCAAAGGGATCGACAACGTTTATGACGTTCGGCGATCCGATTGATCTGCTCCAAGTTAGCCAATCAGGAGGATACACGGGATAACGTTTCGATCTCGTTAATATAAAAATAATTGTCTGCCTAGTGCGGGTTTGTTTTAAGTTAAAGCGATGGAGGCCATTATCGTATTTGGGTGTCTGATCTGTTGGTTTACTTTGAGCAGGCCAATTGAAGACCCCAACATCATAAACAAGTCGATCACCTAAGAGCCCAAAATCACAATCAAAGAGTCGATCATTTAAAAGTAAAGCAAACTTCGCACTAGGCACTGAATAACATGTTAAACATAGTTGCATGTTCTTCTTTTTATTTCATCAGACACTTTCTAGAAACAAAGTCTATTCGATTAAATCTCACCCTGTATACATAAATATATGTATAAGCTAATTATACGAAACACCTGTCATTACATAAAATATTATTTTTGCAACAATAACAATGTACTTCTTTCATAATAAAATACACAGAAAACTTAATAAAAGATATTATGAACAAATTAACTAGGCGGTGTTTATATAAGTTTTATTCCACACGATCGGAATGTCTCGTATATTTTTAAAATAGCTTTTGCCCGCGACTACGTTCGCGTAGAATAGCGACTTCCTGTAGATTTTTGGTATAAAAACTATCCTAGTATGTCCTTTATGTCCTTTCTCTAAAGTTTCAAACTATGTCTGTACCAAATTTTACAGAAATCAGACAAAAGACAGACATACAGACAGAGTTACTTTCGAATTTATAATATTGGTTTGGATATACCTCAGAATCGAATTTTGATGATTTACGTTGACGAACATTGAAATTTACAGTATCCCACTGGCGTGACTAGCAACTTATATAAGACAAAAAAAATTAACATGTTGAAACTTACAGTCACCATAGTACTCCGATGTAAATCGTCTTGAAAACTGTTTCGAAATAATACACATTATTATCTACCTCATATTGCAGAAGTCTGGTTGTCCTGGTTGTATGTACGTACTGATGTCAATGAACTTAGGAGATATTTTTTATAAATCTTTACAAAACACTGGTAAAGGAGGTAGGTATGCATACGTACCTATTATTTACACACTATTGTTTAGCTTTATGCTTTTGTCCTTAAAAAATCGCACATGTGCGCCGGTTTTAAAAGAATAAGTAATGTGTATAACTTATATATAATGTGAACGATTTCTTATAAGTTTGTCGATAATAAATGCATTGTTATTCTGTGCACTGTACGGTCTTTCTACATAAAAGTGATAGTAGTGTTACAACTTTCATATTGACATGTGGTGGTGAGTTATTCCATTTTATTTTATAAATAGATATTTATTTATCATAGTATTGGTATGATACGCACGCTCTCTGCCCGCATCTTCGCAATTAAAGAGTCCCAAATACAGTAAGTTTACAGTTATTTTTTCCAACACTGGTTCTTAATAAGACTTATATTTTTTTTATGTCATACTTCGGCAAACGAGCAGACGGATTACCTGAGGATACGCAATCACCGCCAGCCATGGACACCCGTAACACTAAAAGAGTTACGAGTACATTGCCGACCTTTTAGGGGTTTCGGGGTTGGAAAGTGGGGGGAAAGAGAGGGATGCGGTCCTCCGGTAACCTCACTCACTTGGCGAAACACAACGCTATGGTTGTTTCATACTAATATTCTGAGAGGCCGAGGTATCACTCCGGTCGACTTGACCCATTCATGCCGAAGCATGGCTCTCCATGAATGATTGCTATGTGCCTAGTGCAATCCAATAAAAATGGTAACACAGTATTGGTTAGATCTGCCCTCAGATTCTCTCGGTCTCTCACTAGCCATAACTACTCTTTTTGAGGGAAAATATCATCAGATTCCTTCTCTAAGCGAAGGGGTGTGTCAGGCCGAGGCCGGGGTAACTTATTGCGCTTGCCCCGTATTTAAAACTAACGACTTAAGAGCTTTTCTAGATAAGGATACAACCATAGCCCACCAACCTTCATAAGTATGTATGAAGGTGCGGATACCAAACCTGGGTAGTCAAGTATCATTGTGACTTTTACTGAATTTTATGTCTATTCAAGAAGTATTTGGATACCACTGACTGAAAAACAATGAAGAAAAATATTGTGAGGAAACCTGAAAATTTTTAACCCAATCTGAGCAAGCGAAGTGATTAATTTCTCAACCTTATCCGTGTGTGATGAGGCCAGTTGGAGCTTATAGATGTGATGTGTTATGAAGAGTTAACTAAAGTATTTATAAATTGAACATAAACCACCGACATTTATTGAAGAATATAATATAATAATGCATTCAATATGCAAAAGCATGTTTACAATGAAAATGTTTGTTAACAAAAAGTTTAAATAACAATACTGATAAATAACACGTGTAGTGTACGCGTTGATATTATTGTGTTCAATTATTTATTTTAACTAATATTCTAGCAACAACTCGTCGTGTCTGGCGCCCACGACTGGGGCAAGTCCACAAATATTTGCAGCCACGCTCCAGTATTTAGCAGCAGCACAATGTCTCCTCAATCATGAGAATGTTCCAGATACTCCCATCATAAGTATGTACAGATTGAATTCGTTTCCTTTGCAAGAACAGTAAAATTCACTCATGAAATAAGTTATGTGTGCAGAAATAAAGAAAAAAATCCTTTTACATCTTACTTAACCCAAATCGTCATAAAGGCCATTCATTAGAGCAAGTTTTGTATTAAAAAAAAACAATATCTCTTTCAGACTTCCAAAGTTTTGATTTCATAATAATCGGTGCTGGAACAGCAGGGAGTGTACTTGCAAAACGACTTAGCGAAGTTAAAGACTGGAAGATATTGCTCATAGAGGCTGGAGGCGACCCGCCTGTTGAATCTTATGTAAGTGCCAATGAAAATTCCATTTCATACTAAAGCTATGAAATCGCCAACTACTATTGACATGATAGACATCAACTTTATCATTTGTTCTTAACATTCTGATTGATTGAACTTTGATTCTTAAATAGTTTCTATAATTCTAAATTGAAATTTTCAAACCATTGTTTTAATGTTGGAGTCAATTATTACGCTCAATAATTCAAATAGTTTGTTCAAAATCTACGTCATAGGAGCAAATCCTAGTGTCCATCACACAAAACAAAAAAAAAACATGCAATCAGAATATACGTCAACTAAAAATGTATTAAAATGTATGTAGTTCACTTTTCTGCAATAACATTTTTACCGTTTTCGTTTTTTTCCTTCCCACTTACTTAACATGATTGCTTACAATTTCGGTTAATAACAAGTATTTGAAATTCCTTTTTCAGGTGCCAGGGTTAGATCACTCAATCACTGGTTCTTTTAACTGGGATTATGTATCACTTAACAATGGAGTTACAGATCAGGCAATTATTAATGGCTCCGTATACTTGTCCAGAGGCAAAATGTTTGGAGGAAGCAGCAACCTCAATGAAATGCACTACATTCGTGGACATGACCGGGATTATCAAAAATGGTTCGACGCTGGAGACATTGACTGGACACACGATGATATCCACAGATGTTTCAAAAAAATTGAAAACCTTCAAAATTTGAAAATGTTAAGAGATCCTGCCATTCGCAAATATTACGGAGATAAAGGCCAGTTAGTTATAAATAGGTTTAATAGCACTAACAAGGATATTACCCACAATATCCTTAAGTCTTGGAATGAAATGGGATTTAAGTTCGTTCCTGACTTAAATATGGCTGGTCTTATGGGTTCTGGTATAACAACGGTTACAGCAGCCAATGGAGAGAGACAAAGTACATATACAGCTTACTTGGAGCCAATCAAGAACAAGTGGAATATTAAAATACTTAAAAATGCTGTAGCAAAGAAATTGTTAATTACAAAAGATTCCAAATTATGCTTTGGTGTCGAGGTTGAAAAAGATGGTAAAATTCTAAATTTCTACGCTACACATGAAGTCATTTTAACCGCAGGAGCAGTAAGCACACCACATCTGCTGATGTTATCAGGCGTTGGACCGAAGGAACACCTACTTTCCAATGACATCACTTGTCTAGTCGATTCTCCAATGGTAGGACAAAATCTTCAAGATCATCTTCTAGTTCCAATAACCGTTTATGGTAATGGACCAGAAAAACCAACAACAAAGGAAACCTACCGAGATGTTATAAACTATCTTCTAGATCGGTCGGGACGATTAGCAGAGAGTACAAAGTTCACTGATATAACCGCATTTTATTCTACTAAAAACCAACCTTACCACCCAGAATTTCAATTATACCTTTCAATGGTACCAAAGAATACATCTAATTTGGAAGAATTACTCAAATCTCAATACAGATACAAGGATCCCATTGTCGATTCTATGACTGAACTTAACAAAAAGCACGCACTTTACTTCTTTGCTTTCACCCTTCTACACCCATATTCAAGAGGCAATATTTCTCTAAGCCCAAACAACCCAGAAGACGCTCCCATCATTTACACGAACTACTTTAGCGACGCACGAGATTTAAGAACAGCTGTTCAAGGTCTCAAATTGGCTTCTAAAGTAGTCAAGACAACATTTTTCAAAAGTATAGAAGGATTTTTGGGCCGTATGAACTGGCCAGCCTGCGATCACTTTGAATTGGATAGTGAAGATTACTGGAAATGTGTTTCTTTGAATATGGTGACTTCAATGAGCCATCTAGTTGGCACATGTAGGATGGGACCCAATCCTAACACAGCGGTTGTGAACAGTAGACTAAAAGTCCATGGAGTGTCGCATTTACGAGTTGTGGATGCCAGTGTGATGCCAGAAATAACTAGTAGTAACATTTACGCACCCTGTATAATGATAGCTGAGAGAGGTGCAGAGTTCATTATAGAAGAGTATCATAATTTTAAATAGAAACCTTTGGGTTTTTAAATCTTTAATCATAAATGTATATTTTTTCTTCTTTTCAGATCAATTTATTGCTTTTGTTTCATATTATAACAAGCAGATAGATGACCTGATGGTGAGCAATTGCTGCCTCCTATGCACAATCGACCGCCAAAGGAGTTACAAGTGCGTTGCCGGCTTTTTGAAGTATCTATCCATAGCATACTTCTTGTAAATAGCTCGACTATACATTTATTCCAATTTGTTAAGATAAATCTAATACCTTTGTCTTAGAATGTTACTTCAATTTGGCCTCAAAGTTACTGACAGTTGTGTTCCTATATTTAAGTCGCAGAAATTACTAACTTTCCCATGCCTTTATATCCTCGAATTAGCAATATTTGTTAAAACTAACCGTAATTTATTTGCAACATTAACAGAAACTAGAAAACGAAGTACATCATTAAGATCACAATATCAGAACTTAATGTGCACAGGCACATTTAAAACTAGCTTACTAAAAAAAAGTGTGATATGTATGGCTCCTGTTATCTTTAATAAAATTCCTGATCACATGAAAACCTTGCCATTGATGAAATTTAAAAAATGTTTTACATTGTTACTTGTAGACAAATGCTATTATTCTGTTCAGGATTTCTTAAATGATACATTTTAATCACCTTTTTGCCTTATTTAACTAGTTGTATAATAATTAGGTATTGTATTTGCATGCCAACAAGGTAGAATGTACACGGTTCTTTATTATGTTATTTTCGATCCTATTTGTATGTACCTGCATTCTTAGCAAATAAAGTCTTATTCTATTCTATTCTATTCTATTCACAATTATGTTATTATTAGTTAATTAGGAAAAGGGCATCATTTTATAATGAAATAAATTTTGTTAAGAAAAAGTTTTTCTTTGCATTCTTGAAACTTTCTTACGTAAATTACCTAGGTACCTACTATGAATAATTTTTTGAACTTCCTCAGAGCGAAAGGCTAAAAATTGCTTTTATTTCCGTCTGTTATTGTATGAATTTTTATTTTTATCTAACAAAAGCAAGAAGTTTAGTACTTTACAGGAACATTTAAATACCTTTTTTTATTTTGGACTTAATTTAGAATTGTTATTCATACCTTTCGTTCTCTAAAACATTTTGAGGGGGGCTTATTAAACGGCATTCTCTCTCCCAGGGTGATGTAAGAGGGAGTGTCAGACTCTTACTGACTAAAAATCAACCCGCTTATTCTCCTGCTCCGAGGCCTTATTGCTCTTGCCCCGCAATCCAAGCTGAACATCGTTCTGGTTGGGCCCCATCTGTAGTGGTGTATTGGCATTTTAAGGCGCGCTTGGTATGCTAAGCGTAGTATGATCGTGTCTCGTTCTGGTCGGGCCCTTGCTCGTGGTCTGCAGAACCGGTCTAGACGCTGAAGATCGTCACTCGATGCCCGATGCCTGGAGTCTTCTACTATGGCAGCTGTGTGAGGAGGATAGTTACCTCACGAGCTCCGCCTCCTTATTTGCGAGCATCACAACTCTGCACATTGGTATCGACAAATGACGAACGGAGAAGGTCACACCGTCACCGTATGCTCCACCGTTTCCTCTGGGTTTTTTTTTTTTTTTTTTTGTGAGGGGAAAATCATCAAATGACTTCTCCCGCCCAGGGCCGGGCAGGAGGGAGTGTCAGACTCTTACTGACTAAAAACCCCCCTGTTCCTTCTCCTGCTCTGTGCCGAGGTCGCGGTACCTCATTGCGCTTACCCCGCAACCCCGGCTGAACATCAGCCCTTTAGGGCCCCGTCTGTGGTGGTCTATTGGCTCTTTGAGGCGCGCGCGGAACGCTACGCGCCGTACGCTCGGGCCTGGTTCTGGTCGGGCGGCAAGCTGCCCTTACTCGCCGACCGCAGGCCCGTACTTACGGTGGCCGGAGATCGTCCCTCGATCCCCGACGCCCGTAGTGTCGCCAGTTGCGGCTGCTGGGGCGTGAGGAGGAGGATTGCTCCCTCACGCGGGCCGCCTCTCTCTTTGCGAGCATGACTGCTTCACAAAAGGAGGAGACGGCGTCCCAGTTCCTCTCATTCCGCACCATGGCCTCGACTAAGGCCGGGCGCGAGAGGTTGGGTGGGCCTCACAATGACGACACCCGAGCGTTTTCTCCCACTGGATACGAAATATTCAAATTACCTAACAGTCATAGTCTTGATAGATTAGATAAGCTATTATATTCAATAACATAATCCCATTGGATATTGGATTCGGTAATCAATACCTGACAGCTATTATAAAACGAGAATGCTAGTCGATCTACACAGAACAGATCTTATTATATCTACACTATAATAGAATAAAGGTGAAGAGCTTGTTTTTTTACCGTGTAAATCTCGAAAACTATTGGGTCGAATAATAAAAACATTTTTTAATTTCTTTAATTGATCAAGGAAGGCTATAAAACATCACATTATGACTAAATCCTAATGACGAAATAGCCGATGAAAGCACGTAGAGTAGTACTCTCTTAATTAAAAACGATGACGTGAATTGCCAATCATCACATTATCAGCCTATAAGTGCCCGCTGCTGAGCAAATGCTTCTTCTCACACGTAGAAGGCTTGAGCATGATGGATTGGCCATTTCAAACTTTCAATAAGAAATTATAAGTCCAGGTTTCCTCACGATGTTTTCGTTCACCGTATGTCACTGGGGTCTAAATAATCCGGAAAAAGTCACATTAGTACTTGCTAGGTTTCGAAACCAACCCATGAGAAGCGGGCGCCATATCCTCCGTGCCATCACGACGGATCACACTAATTAACATGGATGATTCTTACGCAGAGAAAAACAAAGCATTACAGTTACAGCGTTACAAGATTATACGTATAATAATAGGAAACGAAAATGAAGTCGCGTTGGACCAGTCATTTTAGAATAAAGACAATAGATAAAACTGATATAATTTATAGCTATAATAGCTTAATATATAGCTTATTTATAGCTTAGACAGACACATCTTGTTACGTACATACAACACAAAAATCTATAAATCAATTTGTGTTGTAGTCAATAGAGTCCAAATTACTATTTTAGAATTTTATTGCTGGCCCGTTAACTATATTCGCTTTAAGACTAGACATATAACAAAACCTTTTTTAATACAACTGATTTAACTTTTATTTCGTAGGAATAAAGGTCTTTTGTTTAACGTAATAAATGTCAAAATCAGTTGAACGGACTGTAAAAAACAATTTCTTCAAATAATAATATGTATTTTTAACAAAGTGTAGGATGTTGAAATACAATTTTTGTTTAAATGAAAACTTAAATGAAACTTTTGAAAAAGGTTCAAGGTAAAAATATATTCTTTTACACGTTATTTGGGTAATTCTTAAATTATTTGCTTTATGTTCAAAAATCCCTGTTCAATCTTTGGTTAGAAAATATTAGGACCTGAAACATCTGTAGGAGCTTAGGAGCGTGTCATAATTGATTAGATAGTAGCCCATTAAAGGCATAGACGCTTAGGCTATTGATGCAATGTCTCTCCCATTCAAGTGTGGGAGAGCCAAGCTCCGGCACGAATGGGTCGGCTCGACCGGAGTGATACCACGGCCTTATAGAATACGGGCGTGAAACAACCCAGCGTTAAGCGTGAGAGTGAGGTTACCGAAGGGACCAATCCCTCCCCTTCCCCTATCCCTTCTCGATCCTTTTATCCGCAACCCCTATCCCCAAAAGCGGCAACGCACTCGTAACTCATTTAGTGTAGCGGGTGTCCATGGGCGGCGCCGATTACTAACCATCAGGTAATCCGTCTGCTTGTTTGCCGACTTATAACATTTAAAAAAGTGTTATTAAGCTATACAATTACGATTTCGAACACTAAATAAAACAAATATGTTTTTTTTATTGAACTACTACTATTTACACTAATTAGTGTTGCCCAAATGCAAGAACAAGACGAGACTTAGCCAGTCTTGGTCTTGGTCTTGCGCCAATACACCTGGTCTTGGTCTTGGTCTTGCGCTCCCAGTCTTGGTCTTGGTCTTGGTCTTGCAGCAAGAGTCTTGCAAGTCTTGCAATTACCTCTTAGTCTCTTACTATTTATTAAAGTTTACTTTAAATCTTAGAAAAACATATTGGAATTGGAACATAATGTGAGCTTGAATTAACATAGCCATAGTAAAGATCAAGCAGATTAATAAATAACTGAAGATTTGATAAGAAAATCGAAAAATCTATAATGAATAAATCTATATGTCGTTTTCCATGGAAGTAACTTGTTAAACATTTATGCTTTATAAGCTTACATTTGCTAAAACATGTAAAAAAACAAATTAATTACAATAACTTGAGTAGTGCGCGTGTATTATAACCATGTACTTCCGAAAAGCGGCAAATTTCTTTGAGAAGTAAGTACAAAACCTTTGATGCCGCATTATCAAAGTGCCGATGGTTAAAACATAACTATGCATGCACTCAGTTTGATTTTAATAGATATTTTTTTATTCGCTATGTTTATGGTATTAGTAATGCGCATAGGTCCAGTTTTTCATATTCTTTGATACAGTTTTTTGCGTCTCATAGAATTCCTAAGCGTACCTACCTATACACCGAACTGTTACACCTAACTACTCAGTGAAATAGCGCTAAGTCCTAGCTGCAAGACGCAAGAGTCTTGCAGGCTATGTCTTGTTCTTGCTCAAGTCTTGCACGGTCAGTCTTGGTCTTGGTCTTGCTAAAAATACGCGGTCTTTTTCTTGGCCTTGGTCTTGCAAAAACGCAAGAACAAGACCAAGACTGCAAGACCAAGACTGAATTTGGGCAACACTAACACTAATTTACTCCATTTTATCGCCATTAGCAACAACGTCAATATATCACCAAAAACTGGAACTAAATAATAGATTTCTTTAGCCCAAAACATAGATCTTTACAAACATGAAGTGACAGTGCCGATCAAGCGTGAGCCGTGACATTTCCAGGCAGAATGACTAGCGGGATTTTTTACCTGCCGACCAAAAACCGAAGGGAAAACTCGTCCGTGTTTTTTCCGCTTTGACATCGATCATGGCCGGAATGAAAGACAAATGATATGAAAATTTTTCAAGTTTATTCAGTGGTCCGTCGTTTGCTATTTTTCCAATCGTTTATTCCACCATTCCTAGCCTTTCTCCCTATTTTTATTTGCTCCCCTACTTGGTTTATTACGATAATGATACCGTTATTTTTATAAACGACTTTAGAT